TTATTTATTATTGGACCAGTTTATATATATTGTAACTACTATATATAGCTATATATTACTAATACCTAATCGCTACACCAGGGGGGAAAGGGATTGTTAGTAATGGAGACTGAGAATCCCATTGTCAGCAATATACCCAACCAAGTCGACCTTCTCGCAGTTCCCCCTGGAAACTATCATGGTTAATTCCTAATGAATTCATCATGATGGGCTAACTGGCCTGTTTTCATTCTCATCTATCACCCTTCACTGGTGCTCCGCCAGCGTATCCCGTTAGCGCAGGCGGGGTTACCATACCATTGTCATCCATCAAAAAAAAAAAATCGCTACACCAAGGCTGTCAAAGAAAAGCAATATACATTTATAACGTTCATCAGTGTATTGTGAACAAGCCCAGTTTAACGAACAGAGAACGACGGAAACAAAACGCCGCAATTTGTTTCTGTTGAACTCAAAGGAACATCGTTACCGAAAAGCATACTTTAAAAATAATACGACATACTTAAAGAAAAAAAAAGACGTAAACACTCGTATGAAATGTGTTTGTTATCAAAATACTTCTGTGTTTGTATTAGCTTCGACAGTGTTGCTGGCAATTTAGCTAGTCGGCCTATTTTATATACATACTAGCTTTTACCTACAACTTCGTTCGCGTGACAGGAATATGTTTACTGACCGAGATAAGTATAACTTATGGGAGGGGGAAAGAATTGTTAGTAACAGAGATTAGCAATCTCTTTACCTGCAGTATATCCTATTGAAGCATATTTTTTTTATATTATAGTTTTTTTTAATTTGATTAGTGATAATGAATGAATGGTTTATTTTCTCTTCACAAAGACCTGACTTCTCTATAGGTGTTCTACCATTGTATACCATAAGCATAGGGGAGTACAAAATAATTTCATCTCACTCAAGCAAAAAGTTTAAAAATTCCCGTATAAGTTATATTTTTTTCTTCTTTTATTCCGTATAAATCATTAAAGAAGTGAAATTTTTTGAAAAAAAGTTGTGCACCACAAAAACAGTCCAGAATTTGCAAATGAATCGCGTAACAAACATGAAAAAGAAAGTGAATTAAGAATTCCCTCTTAATGACCCCAATAGTTTAAAAAATAGTCAATAAGATACTAGTATGACTCCATAAGGATCAAACACTTTACACGGGCGTCAAAGAAAAAGGGTTCCGTACATTAGATTAGATACGGGGATACGTTTTCTGAGAGCCTAGTTAAATCAATTTAAGAGGGTCAGTGCCGATGGAAACTCTCTTAGCTTTTGGTTCGGTCATAACAACGAATTGTCTGGGTGGAAGTGACAAAATTGTAATTGTAAATTACATATTTAACTATGTTGCACCGGGGGGAAAGGGATTGTTGGTAATGGAGACTAAGAACCCCATTGCTAGCAATATACCCAACCAGGTCGACCTCCACGCGGTTGCCCCTGGAAACTATCATGGTTAATTCCTGATGAATTCATCATTCACTGGTGCTCCGCCAGCGTATCCCGTTAGCGCAGGCGGGGTGACCATTCCGTTTTCACCCATAAAAAAACCATGTTGCCCCAAAAGTCTCTTATATATCGCAAATTTGAGTGTTTAGATATTGTATTGTATTTCGATATTGTAACGTCTTTTATAAATATTTAAATCAAAGGAAGTTATTTAACTATCAACTGACATTTAATTTATTATTCAATAAAGACAATTATTATTATTTTTATATCTAAAAAAATATATTAAAAACTATATATATATATATATATATATATATATATATATATATAAATTGATCATATTTCTATAAATGGAACACGCAGTTTGCGTATTAGAACGCACACTACATTTTATATTTACTTGCTTTCCCGTTGACAACTGGCTCGATGCATTGCGCCACTTATTGTACTAATACCGCCATTTTACCATAAAATTTTCTATCTAACGATTTTTAAAAGTCGTGCGAATCTACTTGTATTAATTATTATGGATCTTGAGGTTCCTTCAACTATGATCATGTATTGTATTCGGGCCTTTACTCAAATGTATTATCGTTTTGCTACGTGCATCAAAGCGAACGAATAATCATGAAAAAATATTATAACTCCTTCTATTTTTATTTTTTTCCCTCTCCTTATCTTCTATTATGTTTTTTTTTTATACAACTTAGAATGGCAAACAAGCTGACGGCCCACCTGATGAAAAGTGGTAACCGTCGCCCATAGACATGAGCAGTACCATGGATATAACAGAGTATATTGTTTCGCCCATGATACCTCTGATGCGTGCCATTCCTGAGGACTCAGGTGTTATTCCTCTGTACCCTGTAAATTCACGCCATATCCCATCCTTCAAATCGAAACACAGCCATGTAAACACAACTGCTTTACGGTTGAAACACGAATGGGACAGAGGTGCCCAAGTAAATGAAGTCATTTGCTTGGAGATTTTGTACAAAAGTTTGTACAAAGTCTCCTTCATTATCGTATTTTACTTTACTATATACCTCTATATACTTTACAAGTACTATAACTATTATTAAAATTTCCCAAAAAAATTACTTAAATTCCTCCAAGCCCATTTCACTTTACTTCAAAACTTTCACCAAGAATTACATTTCTCTAAAAATTTTTACCAATGATTACAAAAAAAGTACCCCATCTGGCAATGCAAATTAATCAATTTACGAGAGTGTCTGTTCTACCTCGATATTTATTCTTATTCAATGTGACATTCGAAAACTATACGAGATATTTTATTGATCAAGAATTTTCAAAAAAGCGAATAAACTCAATCATGCAATATCCATTCCGGTTTGGAGGTACTTTTACAAAACTTTTACATTTTTTGTAGTTGTTTTTATTTGACAGTTAGTATGTTTGGGTCTCTTGCAGGTGAAGTTTGAACCGATCTAATAACCATGAAAGCTTGTTCGAATTTTCGCATCCAATTGAAACTCGAAACGAATTTAGTAAAAACGTAAACATTTGCAGTCATTCAATTGAATAGGGCTTCAGTTTTCGATATTTGTATTTAATTTAATTATATATAATACATAATGAATTTTAAATAAATAACAACCGTCGTTCTAAGTTCTAAGTTCAAGTTAAAAGTCTATATCTTTCTTCATTCCATATAATACGTGTATACTTTTTACAATGATTGGTTAAGCTGTTGCCAAAAAAACTCAGTTTCACATTATATATACGTTCTTTTGTTTTATTTTTCTTTTTATTTCTATATATATATAAATATTTTTGTGTTGTTTCTTTATATATGGATTTTTTTTTAACCCCTTTGTGGGTGTCGACGCATATTTCTTGTAAAATAAAGTTTCTTTCTTTCTTTTTTTTATATTTATTACTACTAAAAGATATTACAAAATATATTTTATACAATCACGGACAGAGAAACCCAAAAAAATAAACTTACTCGTGTTAGACTATATGACTATATATTATACAAATACATATTGTTATTTACTAATACTATAAATAGATAGTCAATTGATTGTTGTTGACGTTGTTATAATTAAATTATTAAATGTTAGTATATTTATTTAAATAAATACAATACAATAATTTATAGTACGATGTTAATAAAATATTGTCACGTAAATGCTAGTTAGATCATTCGAATGTCAATTGTTTTAATTTTGAATTTAAGTATTGTAATTGATTCGATCATGTATCCGTTACATTATTTTTGTATTTATAATTTTTTTAGAGGACATTAATGAATAGACTGGCTGTCATTCATTCCTCCTTTAATTTTTGCCGAGGGAACACGTATTAAACACACGTATTCAAGATTAAAAATATCTTTTATTTCTGATAATAGCCGGTAAATAATACCATTGCTTATAGAATGTGCTTATAAAGTCCACTAATACTGGCTCCCCTGATCAGGCACATTATGTTTGGAACTTTCTAAAACTAGTCACGTAATAGGATCACAAAGCCACATTCGATGGCCGCTAGCTGATTGGAACAAAGAACTAGCTTCGGGCGAGGCAGTATAAGGGGATATGTTAAGCTTATGTGAGACGCCCTTCTTGAATTATCAAATCGAGAGATGTAATCGTCTTGTATAGGTAAATTATAAACGAATTGAGAAATTTCTTTATTTTGAAATCGCTTTAGTATTAAAATTAAAATTTTACTAGAGGAAGACCTTGTACAAAAGTCGTTTGCTTGGTTACCTCTGTCTCAATTGTGATTCAACCGTGAAGCAGTTGTTTTTGCATAGCTGTGTTTGGGTTTAAAGGGTGGGATATGGCATTAAATTTACAGGGTACAGAGGAATAACATCCGAGTCCTCAGGAATGTCAACTCATAGTGGTATCCTGGACAAAACAGTATATTCTGTTACGTACATGGTACTGCTCATGTCTATAGGCGACGGTTACCACTTTCCATCAGGTGGGCCGTCAGCTCGTTTGCCATTCTAAGTTGTATAAAATCAAATCGTGTGTTCTAGTAATGTTCTCGTTATGAAATGTCGAACCCAAGCGCAGTTCCTGATAGAAATAAAGCCAAGTTATTTATTCTCTTTTATAACAGAAGGCCCCTACAATCGAACCGCAGCTGTGCAATAAAATGGCATTTACTTCTAACACTTCGCAATTATTTAGTTGCAACTGGGAGTTTTGCTCGTTTCTTTTTTATGCCTTTGTTGTTTTGATTGATTGTTGATGAGATTGATTTTTTTATTTACTTTTTTATTTATAAATTAGGTTTTTATGATATAAATATTCTTAAAATACTATTAACAATAATGTAATAATAATTTAATTCATTATATTTTTCAAATTTAGGAGAGGAGGATCCTCCTCGTCCCTCTTTTCTTGTAATTATTTATATTTATAATAAGTTTACTATTGTAATCTTTTGGAGGAAACAATAAAGAGTATTTATCTATCTATCTACCTGTACGAAGACGGGGGCGGATTGCTAGTAAATTATAAATTTATCGTTCTAAAAAATGTTATCTTTGTCTACAGCAAGTGACCTCGAGTCTATACGAGCTCTATTCAATGAAAAGGAGAAAGAGTTATCTGTGGCGGTGGCCAAAGTGGAAGAGTTGACGCGGCAGCTCGAGGAGTTGAGGAGAGGTCGCGCGCAGCCGGCGCCGCCCTCTGCCCACGAGCTGGACAAACTGCGCCGGGAGCTTATGGTGAGTGAAATGGATTGTATAATATATATATTTAGTATATACCAGCTACTTCTTATGCTTGGATTTCCTACTATATCCATTAAAGTATTCCACTTCTGGATGACTTATCAAGGTTAATTTTTTTTTTATACAACTTAGAATGTCAAACAAGCTGACGGCCCACCTGATGGAAAGTGGTAACCGTTGCCTATAGACATGAGCAGTACTATGGACATAACGTACATACTGTTTCGCCCATGATAACCCCCTTGCGTTGCCATTCTTGAGGACTCGGGTGTTATTCCTCTGTACCCAGTAAATTCACGCCATATCCCACCCTTCAAACCGAAACACAGCCATGTAAACACAACTGCTTCACGGTTGAAACACAAATGGGACAGAGATACCCAAGCAATCGACTATATATATATATATATATCTCTGTTATGAGCGATATTGAAATGGGCGGTGACCTTTTTTCTGCCATCAATATTCACAGGAATCCAATATTTAGACATCGGCGCGGTACTAATATTACCCATTCATATTTATGATCGTCATTAAAATTGGCCTATGGCTTACTACATACCAGAGGGAGACTTTGTACAAAAGTCTTTTGCTTGGGCACCTCTGTCTTATTCGTGTTTCTACCGTGACGCAATTGTTTGCATGCCTGTTTCGGTTTAAAGGATGTTGATATGGCAGTGCATTTACAGGATACAGAGGAATAACACCCGAGTACTCAGGAATGGCAACGCAAACAGAGTATCATGGGCGAAACAGTATACTCTGTTATGTCCATGGTACTGCCCATATCTATAGGCGATAGTTACCACTTTCTATCAAGTGGACTGTCAGCTTGATTGCCATTGTAATTTGCATAAAAAAATGCATGATGCTAAACGAGCCACCGCATTCTAAATTCTTGTATTTAACACTATCAGAAGTTCAATAATGTAAAATTACCAATGTGAATATTTCTTTCCCTTTCCAACCAACCAATGCAGAGAGGAAAGGAATTATTAATAATGACTTCTAACAAAATAATAAAAAAAAAATAACATCTAGTTCTGTAAAATAAAAAAATTGTAATTCACAACACATAAATTGAAATCCTTCCAAATAACTCTCAAATGTACATCAGATTATGTAATAGGAAGGTACCAATTATATCCTTATTAATGGCAACTAAATCTCATTAATACTCATTAACAATGAACGGAACGAATTGAAGTGTTCGTCTTAATTACATCGCTGGTTTCACAGTTGCCAACGGTCGCCGTCTCAAAGAAACGTTTGGAACTTTTCAGTTGAGGTCCTCTAATTAATTGTGGACAATAACCGCAGTTTCCAACTTCATAGGGCTGTTGTATTGGTCTTTCTTTGATACTATCCAAGTAATTAAATTAATTTAAGATTTAACTTTGTGAGGTGTTGAATGAATGATTAAGGAATGGATCAAATGGATTATTTGTTTGCAAATTATTAAAATATTATAATAGATAGATAGACACTCTTTATTGTTTCCTCCAAAAGATTACAATAGTAAACTTATTATAAATATAAACAATTACAAGAAATAATCACAGTGAGAAAACAATGGGCGACCCTATCGCTAAGAGCGATCTCTTCTACACAATTTTCTTCTTCTTCTTAAACAATTCGGTAGGAGGCACGATGAAAAATTTTTTGTTAGTTCTAGATATGGGAGATGTAATACATATAATAATATAAATATTATCCCTACTCATTATTATATATATATATATATATATATATATATACACATAATAAAATATTAAAAGATTTTATTTTTCATACTACAATTTTTTAGTAACAATTTCCTTACAAACTATGTTAGTTAATACTTAAGCAATACACTCAGATGTGAGCCAGCCGACTAGAACAGCATCTGAATGAAATGCCTAATCATAGGCGAGTTATATTTCTCGCCTATTACTTTCAGAATGTTGTTGGTACTTGTCCTAACCTGTGTGTAGTAATAATGCAGTTCTCTTTCTACTTATAGCGTGGTAATCATCTACGCGAGAAAATATTAATACATTAAAGTGTTAACTTTTATAAGTATTAAGTAGCCATGAGAGTAACACAAAATTTACCAGTTCTCGTAGAGTTGATATTAAATTTGGATTTTTTTTTATACAACTTAGAATGGCAAACAAGCTGACGGCCCACCTGATGGAAAGTGGTAACCGTCGCCTATAGACATGAGCAGTACCATGGACATAACAGAGTATACTGTTTCACCCATGATACCCCCCATGCGTTGCCATTCCTGAGGACTCAGGTGTTATTCCTCTGTATCCATTAAATTCACGTCATATCCCACCCTTCAAACCGAAACACAGCCATGCAAACACAACTGTTTCACGGTTAAAACACGAGTAGGACAAAGGTACCCAAGCAATCGACTTTTGTACAAAGTCTCCCTCTGGTAGCTTACAATTTTAAGACAATTATGTAAACAGATGCCAAAAATTTTATCGCATGGCTTTTATTATGTTGAATGTTTGTTTAAAGCAAATATATATTTAAAAAAACGATAATTTGATATGAATAAAATTACAACAAAGCGCGAGAAAAATGAATCATCAGAATTGGGTCAGCATTGACTAAGATATCGAGTACCATACAAACAATTTTTTTTTATTTTGGTACATGTGAGTATATATGTACATACATACATATATATCTGTCACGCCTGTCTTCTATTTGGGTAGGCAAAATAAATTTTACTTTTTTATTTTACTACAATATAAAAATCTTGCTGTATTTAAATTTGTCTGTCCTTATATTATTCAGTTAGTAAAAATGGCAACATATGAGAGGTATCATGGGCGACACAGTATACTCTATCAAGCCCATGGCACTGTCCATGTCTATAGGCGATGATTACCACTTTCCATCAGACAGGCCGTCACCTTGTTTGCCATTTTATGTAGCTTAAAAAGATATATGACTAAGTTATGTCAAGTATTTAACTGGTGAGCATTCTTTGAAGTAAATTGCCTTTGTTAAGTCGTCCGTTTTTATTGCATTTCCTTTGATGTTCCGCGTTCTTTCCGTTCGGTGAGATCTTACCCTTTTCGAGGGGTTGGTTTTTCCTTTTTTTTATAAAAATCTACGGTTTTATAATATTATTAAAACGTTCGCTTTTTCGGTTCGTGTAATTGTATACTGTCGATATTCATATAACGAAATTACGAACCAGGGCCCGACATGGTTATTTTGCCGCCCCTGGCATATATAATGTTTGCCGCCCTTGACTTTGTAAACATTGTACTACGTTGACCGTGAAGAAATCTTTTAATATGTTACTGTGACACGAGTATGCATTGCTAAATAAAATGCTCACACACTTTAATCTTCAATCGCCCTCAAACTGATTTTTGCTCCTTCATGTTGCCGGTCTGGGAATTTGCTCCATTGACTCTTTTTCTGAATCGGGTGCTAATAATAATTAGTTAATAAATAAATTATTTTTTAACATAACAGTGAGACAAAAGTGACTTTAATGTTTTTAAATGATTCCATAATCTATTAATAATGTAGCACTAACACAAAACTTTTTTTTTATATACAACTTAGAATGGCAAACAAGCTGACGGCCCACCTGATGGAAAATGGTAACTGTCGCCTGAGCAGTACCATGGATATAACAGAGTATACTGTTTCGCCCATGATACCCCCCATACGTTGCCACTTCTGAGGACTCGGGTGTTATTCCTCTGTACCCAGTAAATTCACGCCATATCTCACCCTTCAAACCGAAACACAGTCATGCAAACACAACTGCTTCACGGTTAAAACACAAATGAGACAGAGGTACCCAAACAATCGACATTTGTACAAAGTCTGGTAGATTAAACGACGTAATGGGTTTTTTTGTATTAATTTTTTACACTGAATTATATTTGGTCACACTGTGCTTATATTGTGCTGTTGTTATTTAGTCTATATAGCTTTTAAAATGAATCTAGCAACATTGCAGTCTATCAAGTCGTTACTGATACAAGAAATACCGAATATTCTTACATACATTCTTCTGTGTTTCGGTTTGAAGGGTGGGATATGGCGTGAATTTACTGGGTACAGAGGAATAACACCTGAGTTCTCAGGAATGACAACGCATGAGGGGTATCATGGGCGAAACAGTATACTCTGTTATGTCCATGGTACTGCTCATGTCTATAGGCGACGGTTACCACTTTCCATCAGGTGGGCCGTCAGCTTGTTTGCCATTCTAAGTTGTATAAAAAAAAATCTTACAAATATCATCAACGTTTGCCTTTATCCCATTTATTTAGAATCGGCGTAGTAGCAACAGATTCCTCTACTATATCTAGCTTATATGTGTTTATATACACATCCGCTTTCACAAATATTCATTCATATGTCTACCTAAAAAGGCTAGTTGTTGCCCGTGGCTTTACATCCGCGTCGAGCTCTAATCCTCTCTTTAAGCTGAAATTTTAAAAATCTTAGCTAATGCTTACGTTATAAAATAAATATGTGTTCCAAATTCCAGATTTCTAGACTCAGTAGTTTTGGCTGTGTCTTAACAGTCAGTTAGGACAAGCGATTTTATAAGTCTTCTCTTCAAAAGTCTTTTCGTCGGGAAAAAAGCAAAATTGTGGGAGAAAAACTATAATGAGAGCAATTTTCAATGTTTTAAAACTTCAAACCTCAATATTTAGTCTAGCTAACTAACCAACGACTAATTGTTTAGTTGGTAAACTATCGATCGCGTAGCTGCGCCCTAAAAGCCATAGTTGTTTTAAGAACTCCGCAAATATATAACATGCTCTTGTATCCCGGGAATTGAATGTGCGAGTGACGTTTAAAGCCCGCAAACAGTCAAGTCGCTTGCCAATATGGGATCAGACAGATAGGAAGAACGCACTTTTTCTTACTCAACCTATGTTTCCTTGTACCCACTTACTGGGCATTTAAGTGAAAGATTTTAGCTTCTACCATAATTATTGCTGTCGATTGAATAT